CCGTAGTATTGAAGATAGTAGCGAATCACGCCTGCACAGCGATATGATCGCGCTTGACGCGGTATTTACACCGGTAGTGCGTGTACGTTACAAAGTTGATGGCACTCGTGTTGGCCGCAATACGAATCTTGATAAGCTTGCGCTCACTATTGAGACGAATGGTGCAATCTCGCCTAAAGAAGCTTTTGAAGAAGCGGCCGCTATCCTTGTAAACCAATACAAGGCACTCTCAGGCAGTACTACGGTAGAAGCAGCACCTGCACCAGGGGCTGAAGAAGAGGAAGAATCAAGCCAGCTAAATACACCTATCGAAGAGCTGAATTTGAGCGCGCGAACGGCTAATGCTCTTGTCAACAACGAGATTCGCACCGTACATGATTTAGTTACACTTAGCGAGCAAGATTTGCGCGAACTAAAAGGCTTCGGCTCAAAAGCGCTTGATGAAGTTAAAGACAAGCTAGCGGAATTGGAGCTATAAGATGCATAGACACGGATACAAAGGTCGGAAGTTTGGTCGCGAACGTGACCAGCGTCGTGCTTTGCTGAAGGGTTTGGCAACAAGTCTTGTTGAACATGGCAAGATTGAAACGACGCTTCCAAAAGCGAAAGAGCTTTCGCGCTATATAGAAAAACTGATTACAAAGGCGAAAAAAGGTGATTTAGCCAACCGTCGCGCTGTGATCGCAGGCTTAAGCACGCAAGCAGCCGCATTTAAGCTTGTAGACGAGATTGCACCTCAGCTAAAAGGACGCAACTCTGGTCACGTGCGAGTAAAGCGAACACGCATTCGCGTTGGTGACGCTGCTCAGCTTGCAACTATTTCATTTGTTGACGAACTAAAAGCACAGCCAAAGCAAGAAGCTGGACCTGTAAAGAAAACGACAGCGAAGAAGGAGGCTAAGTAATGAAAACTTTTTCACAAGAGCCTAGCGAAGTTACCAGGCGATGGATTTTGATTGATGCTACAGATGCAAACCTTGGCCGTCTTTCGACTGAAATCGCAAAGTATCTTATTGGTAAATACAAGCCAACCTACGCACCACACATTGATGGCGGCGACTACGTAGTAGTGGTAAACGCGGAGAAAGTTCCAGTTTCTGGCAACAAAGAGCTTGCGAAAAA